ACAGCAAGAGGGACTGTCAATCAAGCGCTAAGCCAATGCAGCGCGCTGTTGCATGCAATAAAACCCGAACAACGTGTGGACTATGAAATGCAGCAGCCGTTGAAATGCTGCTGCATGCTGCAGGGGCAGTACGTTGCACCAGCGGCGGCCAAAGTAAGTCGAAAAAGCAAAAAAACTAACAGCAACCACAAAATGATAGGGAACTTTAAAAAGCACAACAACAACAACCACATGCATATATGTGCAACAGTAATTGCAGTAAATAACACAGATGCTGCCGCAACAACTGTACAGTGTCCGTTGAACATACAACACTTTTTGCGGCTGCCACCATTTATGCACATACTGTTGTTGCTGTTGCTGTTGGCGGTGGAAACAGCAATTATTGGCATTGTTTGCAACAAGTAACCGTCAGCCGAACGGTGCGCCGCATGCACGCCAACTTGGCAGCAAATCAAGCATTTGTTGCCGCAATATGCAACTTGCAATATAGCGGCACAACAATGCCAACAACAAACAGAAAAACAACTATTCCATTGGCGGCAGCTACTCCAACAATGTTGATGGGTACGACAAAGCCATCAACAGCAACTGCGGCAGCTGTAGGCACATCATCTCGTGCCACTGCACTTTGCAGCAAATTGTGGCAACTGCTTCAGTAGCAGCAACTGCAGCAGCATCAGCGCTCAGTTCAGTGCACAAAACTGTTGCAAACAAAATGAGGCGGAAAATGGCAGCAAGCAGCTGTAGACACCATGCACAAGCGGCATTTAGTGGGCGCACTAGTGTGCGTGTGTGCCACATGGCATTGATTGGCGCCTTCATCGCACGACTTCATTAGTTTAAAAATAACATTCCACATGCGGCTGTGCAGCAGCTTTTCTATGTTAGCGGTGGTGGTGAAATTGTGCGGATATGTAGCTACGATGTACTTCATTATCTGTATCCGGATCTATAACTAAAATTGGTTGTCACCCCTAGCTTCATCCATATCTGAAGATAGCGCCAGGTAACATCTCTGGACTTCTACAAGTAGTCGATTTAGATCTGACCTTGTTAGTACCACAAGACGATGACCACAACTTTTCCGGCCGACAGAGTCTTTTTCATCTTCATCTTTTTGGAAGAGCTTCACCGCTTAAAATCGGTCTGAGGTTTGGACCAGTGGCATTATGTTTCGTGGAATTTCATAAAGCGACGCAGAAACTCTTTTGGATTGCTCTTAGCGCTCCATCTTTATTTCCACGCTCAATATTTTTAAGAGGATACGACCCTCAAGCTCGAATATCTTCAACTGATTTCCAGTATCTTAAGCAAACATTTTTAGCTTCATTTGATCACGTTAGTCGTAGCTAGGTGGATGATCCGAAACAGTTCGTCGGCTTCTATGGTTCGATCTTCTAACGGTATCGTTTTTACGTTTCATCATCTGTCGTCTTCAAAAGTATCTCCAAACATTTCATTCTAATATATAAACATACGTTTTTAGTACCTTTTTTTCTTCTTTACTGGCGTAGGCGACGCTAACACGATTACAGTCGAGTTAACAACAGCGCGCCAGTCTTCTTCCTTTACGCTGTTTGGCAAAAATTTGATATTCCAAGTGGAACCAGATCTTTCGCCACCTGGTCTTTCCAGGTTTTCCTCTTCCTCTACTTCTCCCGGCGGGTATTGCGTCTAATACTCTCAGAGCTCATACTTTCGGGCGACATGACCTACGCTGGCTAGGCCGCTGTCTCTTAATTCGTTAACCTATGGCGATGTCATTGTATATCTCGTAAAGCTCAACCTTCCATCGATATGGAGCATAAATCTTCCAAAAATCCTTCTTTGAAAACTCGTAATGTCGTAACTCATCGAATGTTATCATCGTCCACGCCTCTGTACCATATAGCAGGACGGGGAATATAATTAACTCGTAGAGTTTGGCCTTTGTTCGTCGAGAAAGGACTTTACTTCTCATTTGCCTACTTAATCCTAAGTAGCACCTATTGGCAAGAGTTATTCAGCACTGGGTTTCGAGGATGACATTGTTGTTGCTGTTAACACTGGTTCCAAGATAGACGGAATTATCTAAGATATCGAAGTTATGACTGTCAACAGTGACGCGGAAGCCAAGTCGCGAGTGCGACGACTGTTTATTTGAAGGCAGAAGATATTTCGTCTTGCCGTCGTTCACTACCAGACCCATTTGCTTCGCTTCCTTACCCAGTTTGGAGATAGCAGAACCAACGGCGCGGTTGTTGAGGCCAATGGTGTCAATATCGTCGTACCTTCTCTCTGCTTTTTAGTACCTGCTCAATACCTATATTTATCAATGTTTCTCGTTTGTGTGCCTCTTCTTCGCACAATTTAATGAGGTTTCTGGCGTATTTGATTTGAAATAAAAACTCAAAAACAGCTAACTAAACATACAAGCGCAAAAAGCTGACAATGAATCCGCTTGTTATAACCAAATAAACAAACAAATCAGTCTATAGAGGGATAAATAAATAAATAGTCATATGAGTATGAATATATACAGAAGTGTTGAAATACTCAAATGGAAAGTTGTATACTTGGCGTTATTCTTTCTTTATGTGCACATACTATGTATATGGTATATATATTTTTCAACTTTTACGGAGTTTTGTTAACAAATTATTATAAGTATATGTGTATGTAAATAGACAGCTGCGAAATAAAAGGCAAGTTAGCGTATGACTTTCCCATTTATTCACATATGTATATGTATGCTTGTATGTATACTTAAACTCTGAGTAACTAATTCGCTAATTCACTCAGCTGTCTGTAACTTTAGTAAAAAGTAAACAAAATTTTCTCCAGTCTACAAAATTTGCGCAATCTCATTTTCATATTTCATGAAGCCTTTATATATCCATGGAGTACTTTCAAGTCGTTGTGCTTTTAAAAACATCAAACAACCTTTTGATTATTTTGTTTCCACCGCCGGCAGCTTCCTATTGCTTTTGCTTGCCTAAATCTACACTTTCATTAAATACATATACAAATACAACTTGTATATAATATATACATACATACATACATACATACATATATAATAACATAGATGTTTAATTTTAGTATCACATCTTTTGTTGTTCGCGGTGTGAAAGTTGCAAAACAGTCTTTCGCTATTAACTGTTGTTATGTTTTGTGATTGTTTCGCTTATGATTTGATAAAAAAAACAATGTAAATATGCAATTATGAGCTACTAGCTTTTGTTGTACGAATATAATGATAGAAGAGGTGCTGGTATTAAAATAGTTCAAAGGGAAGGTTCATTAAATGCAGTTCAAACAATAGTGCGCGTTTAAGGAGGGAGTGAGAGCAAGAGCCTCTTTATATACGAACATGATCCAATGATAAGTTGATGAAGTTGGAAGTTATGGTAACGGCTGAATGAGTATAGATTTCACTAAGCGGAGACCGTCAGTCGACTTACTACGGTGGACATTTCTGAATTTCCATATTTTAGTGAGGGAACTTTGCATCGAATATAGTGGTATTAGCTGCCACGGAAGTAAATGGATCGAACAAAAAACTGATATAATTCATATAGGCTGATATAATCAAATAATATATCTCTTGTCCGAACAACATAAACTTTAAATAGGTAATCTAGTTGTATTAACTATAATGGAGTATCGTGAATTAAATAAGCAACTGGTATAAGCCGTATACATACATATATGGGTTGCACCGAAAATATTTCATGATATAAATGACATAGACTGTTATAATAAAATATATTTCATAATAGAACAACATAAATTCTATACAGGTTTTCAAGTTGTATTAACTAGCTGGTTGTATTAACAACTGGTATAAAAAACAAGCGAATCGAATGTAAAACTGGTATAAATCACTTTAACTGGTATACAAAATGTATCTCATCAGTTGGTTATACATATGTCATCAGTTGGTTTAAGTAGAAAATCGAGATGTGTGTACGAGTCTCTCAACTGTAATGGATCCTGAATACTCAATTTTTATACATCACATAGACTGGCATAAGAAAATAGAAACTTTTATCATATAATCAATTTGTACGTATTTATGAATTGACGAATAATCGTGAATCGAACACTCAACTGGTATAAATCACTTGAATGACATAACGAAATGAAAAATTTAGGCATATAATCTAGTTCTGTTTGTTTATTAACTATCCCGGAGGATGTTAATTGAACATTCAACTGGTATAAACCGTGAACACATGCTTATTATGTTCACTACAAATATTTTACGTCAGGGCGAAGAAGTTCTAGGCAGATAATCTTTTAATCTTCTTGTGTATGTTTGCAAGCTGTCACAAAAAATCGTGAATCGAACATTGAACTGGTATAAAAACCAAGACTGGCATAAAAAAATGAGTAAGTGGCGAGTTAAACCACTTAAAAAAAAAATACTAAAAATGTCAAATATTTTAATAAATAAGTGAGAAAAGTTTCTTTTATTTGGACGTAAAGATTTTGATTTTTCATTCATAAAACCACGCATTTCTGGTATTTTCGTTTAAGAATTTTAAGTGAGTGCAGTAATCATTTCAGTGAGTCTTGAGAAACTTGCAAATCATTGACATTGTGGTTTAACTACAACTTATTTATTTTAATGACTTTTGATGTTTGTTTCTCTTTTTTGATTCCTATTCTACTTGTTACTCTCGGCTCGAAAGAAACCGTCTTCAATTTTTTGGCTAAAGACATTCTGTTGGGAAACCATATAATTCATTTATATTGCAAGGCGTCAATGACTATCTGGAGGTTGAACAGTGGATAAAATAAATAAGTTTTGCTGTTTTGAAGAATTAGCTAAATGTGTTGAGGTCGGATTTTTAAGAAGGCAACCGAAGGTAGACACAGCTTATTATTTAAAAATTTAAAATTTTTAGTATATCTCAAATATTCTAAATGCTACTTAAGCTATGTGTCTGTATATGGGTGATTAAATATTTATTATGAGCTATAAATATACAATGTACAGCACATCCACTCACCTTCGTTGACATGTCCGCTCTTTGGTAATAATTCGGTTTTTGTCAAGTTATTCATTTTTTCACCTCTTTGTTCCAAGCTTTTATACACAATATCGCCGGCGATGAGCAAATTTGAAGCAAATGCGATTACACGACAACTCGCACAATTAAATGACTTAGTTGTAGTGTTTTAGAAAACAGGTTAAGAACTGGAAAGGAATACAGAGAAATACAAATTTTCTTACGTTGAAAAAGAGAAACACAAAACAGTTTTGTGTTGTGGCTTGAATTTGAGAGCGGTCCGCCTCAAGGACGAATGTAGGAAAAATGCGGCGCTCCGCAGCTTAGAGATGCTAATCGCACGAGAACGCACTGCCCGTGTGTGGTTGATTATAAGAGCAGATATTTGCGACTTGTTGAAAGCTATCACTCAAAGGCAAAGCAAAGCGACGCTGCGCGTGCAAAAGCAGGGCGACTTGAGTGTGGAGCACGACATAAATAAATATATGTTTTTGTTGTTGTTGTATATATTATAAGTGTTTATAAATGAACTTGTTTTTGTCCTCTAATGGGTACATATGTATGCATGTTTGTATGTGTGTATGGGTGGTTTATCGCCGCAACAAGCCAGGTGTTTACTGGAAGCCACAACTCAAGTGTTTTTGCTGCTGTTGTTGTTATTAAATCTCGAAATTGGAAGCAACGGAAGTGTTGCTGTTGAACTAAATCGCTACATAAATGCCGTGAGTATGTGTATGTATGTATAAATGCGTGTAAATATGTGAAATTAAAGTGTCTTGAACGGCTTTGTGCTCTAGCGGCTTTTATGTTGTGTTGATATGGTCTTAATGGCAGCACTAACAGCAAATTAAGAAAAAAACAGAAAAAAAAATAAAAATTAAGTAGATACGGAACAATGTTTGGCTTTCTGTATATCTGTGTGTATGTCTGCATAGAAGCGTACTTGTTCCTCAGTCTTTGAGATATCAAAGTGAAATTTGGCACACGTTCATTTCTACTGAAGAAGCATTTTTGGACTACTATAACAAATAGCTATCATAGAAACTGGCAGATCAAAAACAAGTTCTTCTGTTGACAAATTTTTTTTTTTTATTATTTATTTGAAAAAATATCTCTGTAAGATTTGGGAAAGATTATTGCCTCAGACAAAAAATCGGTCAGATCAGACCTTTATATCATATAGTGGACATCCAAGTTGACGGTCCAAAATCATGATTAAGACCTTCTTATACTCTGCCATACAGTAAAGAATGCACCTGTGTAGGGTATTTTTTCTTGCGTTTACTATTCTCTAATTAGTCCACGCCCGTCTCTAACGCTTTGCTTTGCACTTTACGCTGCGCACACTTTCGCCACACGTTTGTTGTTTATTTTTCGGAATTGCTTTTTCCATTGAATTTAGCGTTATATTTTTCGCGTGTTGCGTTTTTATGCGCCCAACGGTAACGATGTTTTCATTATTTTTCACCCGGTTCCAATTTGAAGGGTTCATGCACTCAACCAAGCCAAGAGCCGCTTACAAGAAATAAAAATAAAAACCCCAACAACACACTTTTCCAGCAATTGCTTCAATCAAGTGCGTATGGTTCTCAATTAATCTTAATTTCATCACTGAACTTTCAACTCACTCTTCACTTTACACTTTGCTGCCTGCCAGCACTTCTGCCACAAAAGTTCACTTTAAACCCGTCACACTCTCGCACTAAACGCATTTATTTCAATAAAAAATAGAATAAGAAAATATGAAAATGATTTTCCTCAAACGAAATCAGTGAAGTATTTTCACAGCTGTAACGCAGCAGCTGCATTCCTCGCTGTGTGTCGTCCGTTGCTCGAATGCACTTTGTTTTTTACTCGCCAGCTACTAGCGCGCCACTACCGTTGTGCCACCACTTCACTCACACGTCCGCAAATTAATGCTCGGCGATGGTTGGATGGATGGCCGGTGGACTCAGCGCTATGCTGAACTGCCAACAATGGCAGCAACAACAACAAGTGCTTAAGTGAGTGCCTAACTCAAATACAAACGAGGTGTATGCATGGTGTACGAGCTGTCTCTTATACACATCTAGATGTGTATAAGAGACAGACTCAGCGCTATGCTGAACTGCCAACAATGGCAGCAACAACAACAAGTGCTTAAGTGAGTGCCTAACTCAAATACAAACGAGGTGTATGCATGGTGTACGAGAGTGTTGTTTTGAATGCAACAAAAACAAAGGCACAAGAATTTAGCAACAACAACAATTATAATCAGTAAAATGTGTATGTGTACGTGTGTGTTGTGAGTTGTCGTTGGAAATTTTGTTGTTGTCGTATTAATGTAGTAATAACATACATATTTGAAAGTGTAGAGAGCGTTATTTGTGCACTGGAAGAACTAAGAGTTGCCACTTAATTTATATTTTTTCTGATAAGACAGGTTTTGCTTTGTAGCAAAAAAAGGGGGCGCTATTTAAAATAGTAATAAGATAGAATGCGAGAAACAAATTTGCTCTCTAGAATGACGCAGGGTTGCCACTTAATTTATACATTCTAATGCGTTAGATTTCTACTTAAAAATAGTAATATGGATAGTACAAAGACAGAGAGAGGGAAACAAAGTTTGCGCTACAAAATGGCACAGAGTTGCCACTTAATTTATAATATTTTGTAATGCGGTGGATTTTTAGTTATATATTAAAATATACATATCTCAAGATGCAAAGAGACAAAGAAAAATTTTTGCCCACTTTAATTGCACAGAGTTGCCACTTAAATGTTTTTTTTAGTGAAATTTTTAGATAAATTAAAAAAAATACTTTTGCCCTAAGTTTGCGTAGTCTTATACACCACGTTTGATCACTAAAAATATAATTTTTTGTGAAGAATGACTATATTGAACTAGAGAGTTCTTTGAATAAAAATTTCAGGGCAAGTATCTGCATGTTGTTTCAAAAGACATGCTTTATTTATACCAAATAATCTTATTTATTTATTTAAATAAGACCTGTAAATAAATTTACAGACAGACTAGGAAACTAAGGGAACTGGCTGATGGGCTTTCGTCCCTGAATATATAATTTTGATTGTCCGACTTGAGATCCATAACTATATACAAAATTTCAGTTTCCGAAGTAAATTTTAGAAATTTATACGAGCTTAGTTCTGAATTTATAAAATACCTTAAGATCAAAATAAAGAAAATTTTAATAGCATGGCAGCACTATCAGTGGAACTTATAAGAGACATTTACAGTTTGGAAAGCAATGTAATACATTCAGCTATAGAATAGCAAAATTTTCCATGTGCTGATGATTTGAAATACTAAAATTTGTATTAACAAAAATTTATAATAAAATTCTTGCAAAGGAACTCAAACAGAACTGCATCTGTGTTGAAAATTGGACTGAAAACTAATTTGTCTATTAATAGAGAGCCTTCTAAACTGCACTTAATACAATGGTGCCATTCATCGCCGTCCATTCAACCGGCCTTTGCATTGGCAGCACTGGATTTAGCGCTGGAGTAGAGTATACTACACAGATGCGTGAGTGTTGGTGCGGCCATTGTCTTCACTTCCTATTTGTTTTCATAATTGTTGGTATTACCTTTATATGCATATGTATGAATATGTATGTACATATATGTATATGTATTGTGCATAATTTTAAACTCATTTGCATTGTTTTCAAAAGAAAACCAGTTTTGAGTGTAAGGACATTTGTAGCTACTCATATAACACTTGTAGGTGCTCATGTATTCACAAAAAATCAATAAAAAATATTTCACTATATAAATTAATTATAATATATGTATATATGTACGTATGTATAATATTAATAATTTCTCTAAAAACTGCTATCAATTTCTTCCGCCTTTTATTACTTATCATAAAATCTACCAATGACAATAACTAACTTTCAACTGAAATTGAGTGAGTCAACTTGTTTGCCTTTTCGAAGTACTTCGCTCTTTTGCTATGCACTAAGCAACAGGTAGTATCAGTTCTTATACATACATATATACACAACTATTCAATAAAATTCTCTATGAGCTCAAATCGAATTCAACTGAATGAAAGTTACTCAAACACATTGTCGTTTCAAGTAGACATTTACCTACTTACAAACAACAGTGTACCAACATATGTATGAAATACTTGGCTATTAAAGGCCGTAGACTCTCGTTTACCGACACAATTGGCAGCAAACCGATTGTACTGCCTGACTATTGTTGTTGACAAACAAACGCCAAATTCATAGGTGCCCTATAGGAAATGCAGAGGAGAAGTAATGAATGATAGTAACTAAGACTTAGTAGCATAGGACACATAATATTTTTTCCAGGATTATTTGTTGTAGATTGAAATAATATTATTTATGCGTTAGCAATAACAATTTCCAGCAATTTTGGCATTTAATCAGGGAAAAACTTAATTCTGAAGAACGTTTACAAACCGTTCAACTTTATTAAGAAAATTCACGTCTGCTTCGCTCCACTTATGGTCAACATAAGTACTCAGTAGGCCGAGCGTACTAGTCGCAACACCATCGCCTCTCTTGAGACCCATTACTTATTGGATAATATTCGACTAAATAGACCACATCCAGCAGGACTGTGCAAAGTCGATTGGGCGGCGTTCGCAGAAAGTCGGACTGACGTATGGAACGACTTGGCTCATTTTATGTCGAAATCTTAAATTGAAGGCGCTTACAGCTTGTGCAAGAACTAAAACCGCTCGACCTTCAGAAAGGACATCGCTTCACTCGAGAGGATTTTGAAAAGTTTCAAGAAGAAGCTTTTCAAGCCAAATTTTGTTCAGCAAAGAGGTCCATATCTGGCTCAATGGGTATGTAAACAAGCAAAATCGTCGCATTTTGGTAATATCAAACCTGAAGAGATTCAAGAGCAGCCATTTCATCCAAAAAAAAAAAGCACCGGTTTGGTGTGGTTTGTAGTTCGGTGGAATCATCAGTCCACATTTCTTCAAAAATCATGCCAGTAAGAGCGTAACCGTCAATGGCAACCATTATCGCGCCATGATAATCGACCATTTGATGCCCGAAATTGAAGCTCGTGATCTTGACGACATTTGATTTCAGCAAAACGGTGCCACTTCCCACACATTACATCAGTCAATAGATTGATTGAAAGAACACTTCTGTGGGCAGATAATTTCACGTTTTGGGTCGGTTGGTTGATTTCCTTCAGGGTACTCAATAGAGCATATGTATTTGTATTAGTAAACCACATAAAAATATAAAAACAACAAGCGATCGTTGAGCGCTACGCTCGTAAGATTCGTTGATATCTAAGTATGTTTGCACACAACCATCAAAAGTCGGTAGAGAAGTGAAGTTTTGTTGTTTAAATACGACACCTTTAGTTGTTGGCTGAGCTTGGCTCAAAGTGGGCACTAGTAGCGGGTAAATAAAGCGCGTGCAATTAGTGTGTGTGTTAATGTATGTGTGAACAGAAATTTTAGCAACCACTAATTTTATATACCTAGCTAAAAATAATTAAATAAAAGTAAATAATTAATTTAAAAAATTAAAGGATCAAAATTATATCTGAAATTGAAACGCACTTGTATTGTTTTACTCTGAATTTGTGAATTCCAACTTGAAAAGTGCTCTGGTGTATGCAAGCAAGTTGGCTAAGTGTATTGGCAGTGCGTTTGAGCTCGCCATTAACCGCTTAAACCAGTTTCTGCATCGCGTAATTGCGCTTGTGAAGTGGCCAGTGGTGCGTGAAGGTGGAAAATTAATTATGTAAAATGTATAAGTGAAATAATTAATTAAAAATTTAAAACGAATTTTTACAAAGTTGACAATATCGATATTTATAAAGGAACAAACAAAAAAGCAAAAAAAAAGTTTACTCTTGTTGCAGCAAAATACTCTACATAAACAAAAAAGTTGCCATACTCAAATTTGAATTTAAGCGGTCAGTTAGTTTTAGTTTTGGATTTGTACAATATATTCAGAGATTGTAGCGCCATCACCTAGTAACCGATCAATTTGCACTCTTATCAAAGGAAACTGCAAACAATTTTTTAAACCATATTAATTTGCAAAAATAGATTTTAGAGCTCCACAACGCGCTACTTTCATGTAAATCCTTTCACTCTTTCACAAACATGCCTACACATGCTCTAAGAATAGTGCTACATACTTACAAAACCACTTCCCATAGCATTGTTTTTAGGCGCAGACCTTCGGAGAGCTCACCACTCACTGATCATTGCGTATGAGTCATCGGCATCTTTGCCGGTTTGCTATCAACCAACAACGGCCCGAACAAGCTGCTTAACAGCCAACCAATTAACCACTTACACATTTCTTTACTAACCAGTTGCCGCGTACACGTAACAGAATACAAAAACAATAACAAATTTACAGGGAAAAAACTAAAAAGAAAAGACAATCATATTTGTTTGTGTGCGTGATGACTTCGTGACGTGCCGCACAACGACACATTTTACTTCTTTTAATAATTATTTGTTGGCTGTTAAGGTGCGAGTAAACAAATCATAAAAGCTGTTTTCGTTGCCATTTTAGAAAAGTTTCAAAATAATATTGCCATAAAACAGATAAAGTAAAATAAATAGAGAAATCAAATAAAAGTTTACAAAAATTACGTGCAAAACCAACAACACACAACGGAAATACACTTCAGTGCGAAAAATACATAGTAAAAGCATAACAGGCGCGCATAAATAAACTCCTGCTGCCGACATGCCTTTCGGTTCTACTGCAAGTGCACTGGCATTGCGCTTTGCCTCACTGCTGCTGCCGACTTCGTTGGCCGTCGCCAAGGCAGCTTCGGGTGGCAAAACGGCTGCCAGCAAGGATTGCCATGGCAGGATCTGTAAACCAGTTGAAGAGTACTGCTCGAACTTTCTCGAAGGCTGTGATCAATGTGAACCCATCTGTAATCCGGAATCGCAAAATTTTCATGCGGATACCTGCGAAAGGGAATGTGCCGGTAAGTGGGCTTACATGTATGAATAAAAATAATGAACAAAATTAGTATATCAAAAGTTACTTTGTATTAAGTATTATAGCCGTCTCTAGCTTTTTTTCGATTGTCATACCTTGTATGGTGTGCATTGGCTTTATATAATATATTTATATAATTGCGGTTATAAATGTGGAGAGCAGTGGTCTCTGAAGCTCAAAGCAAATAATATCTTTAATATATCTCATAAATATATTACCTATTCTTACTTTATGCATCAAAGTTACCGACCTACCCTCTCCAATATGTACATGTATTCGATCGTGCAGTAAAGAGGAGGAAAGGAATAATTACCGTTATAGAGCTACCATTTCATTTCGCTTTCTTTAACCGCTTTCATTTCAAAAAATCTTTATTTTAAATACTAGCAAATAAATTTGTGCTTCCTTGAAAATCAACTAACGGTTAAATTATTTGTTACTTACCCAATTTCGTTACCGGAAATTCCTGTTAAAGCTTCTATGAGTTTATAAAGGACCAACTGATAAATCTCACGGAAACTCTTGCGTGATCGTTCATCCCTTTCTTACGCATATGATTTATAAGTTTCACTGTGGGCACTTCCCTATTAAATCTTGCAACGTATTGGATTTTTGGTAGTCAAAAGAAAATACATTAGCTGACTTCAATACTGTCAAGTTTTACATATTTTTGACCAGATTTGATAATCTACTGTCAAGACTAAAAATCAAAAACATTTTTGGTCTGGAAGACTGTGGACTTTAAAAAAATATTATAAAATACAACCTGAACGAAACCAAAGGTTTATGGAAATATTTTTTGTTCTGAAAAAAAAAGGCAAAGAATCGGAACACAATTACGCAAGCACCTGAGTACTAGGTAGTGGTGCCCTTCCCTTTAAAAACTGTTATGGATTGTTCTATTTGCTTAATGGATCCTAGAAAGCCTTTATTGCACTATTTTTCGTGGAAATTTGCAAAAACTTTTGATTAAGCTGAGCCGATTTAGACATGTCCGTCAGTCCGTCCGTCTTTATACATATACTCGAATGAGTGCAACAGTTTTTGCTTTGTCGTTCTGAAATTTTGAATTATTTGTGCTTTTCTCCTCAAGAAGTTTCCCATTTGGCTATATCGGAAACTATAGCATATAACTGCCATACAAATTGAACGAGTCAAGTGCTTGCATGGAAAATTCTTTAATTTAAAGAAATATCTTTAGAAAATTTGGCAAGGGTTTTTATCCATACAAACTCGCCCATCAAACTCAAGCTAAATTTAACGTTTATTAATTTAACAAGGTAACTTCACGTGGAACTCATTTTGACAACTAAAAACTTATTCCTGTGAAATCTCGAGGTAATTAGCGTTAAATTTCATACATAATGCCTTATAATCTAATTAAATTTAATACGTGAAAAATTTCACATTTCATTATATCAATTTTCTTATGCCAGCGCAAATCAAATAATGCGGCTTATAAAAAATTTAATAAATGAAATAAAAATAGTGGAAAAAAGTTGTAAGGCAAAGAAATTGCCGCCTGGCATGCAATGTAATTTGAGCTGCCGTTAACAACAAAAAGGCATAGGTAAATGCAAGTGCATAAGTAAACAATAAATAAACAAAGCAAACATATGTAGTGGATAGGTGTGCTTGAAGCAAATTTGTCCGACCTTTTTTCTATGATTTCACGACAACGCTTCGAAGAACGCTCTTTAGAAAAGCTTTGGCAGTGTGTAAATTGCAATTTGCATTTGTATTTTAAACAAATTCCAGTTACTATTATTTTTAATTTAGTAACTGACTTTTCATTGTATGCAACGGCTGACGTTATCTGTTAACAAAACAATAAAAAACCATGCGCCAAACCGGTAGAGCAAATGACATCATAACGAAAGAATTTGCAAGTGCAGCAAAAGTGAGGAAGTGCGGTTTACAGGTGTGAGAAATCGGAAGACGTTTTAATAAGTAAAGAACTGCAGCTGAATTGAATTTAGCAGCAGTTTTCAATATTTGTTGATAAAGTACTTTTGGAAAAATAGCAGCATTTCTTAAACTGCTTATATCGTGAGTGATTGAAAAAGTGTTTAGTAGTAACTTTAGTTTAAACGAGGAGTTAGGCAAAAGGAATCAAGTATATGGTTACCAGGGTTTATTAAATATGTATTTGAGTTAATGAAAAAAAAAAATGTTGATAGATTGAAAATTGTTCCTGTTCTCGAAACACTTTTCATCAACACTCTTTGTTATGGACTCAGCTCCTACGGCGAATTTTGTGCTATCTCTTCGATCGAATGAAAACGGGTTCCACGGAAAGGCAATTTCAGTTTGGGAAATAAGAGAAATTAACACAGATCCAAATCTGCAGAATACGGTGTTTGATCGATGTTATTCATTGCGTTTCTGGACTTAAATTCGGTCACAATCGTGGCTCAATGTAAAATACATGAATTGTTCTTCTACAATTCCGGCCGTTTTCGACGAACGAGTACCGAAAAACAATGTGCATCAATTTGAATTTTAAACGGCTTGGGCTTAGTTTTTTGTTTCGGCTCGTTCTTTCTCTCCATTCCGGTGACTTGTTTAAATATCAAACTTATAAATCTATGCCGCATCGGCAGTTATAATGCGCATGAAGAATGTGGGAAAGAAATAGGCCAGTTTACGGTACTCTTTTTGGTAAAATAAAGTGCAGCTTCATGGGGTCGAGTCGAGCAAGAACGCGTTTCATGACCAAAATATCCACCAAAATCATTCGAACGGATTCGCGAGAGATGTCGAGCTCTCTTGCCATCTCTCTAACACTTGGTTGACGATTTTCAATCACCATATCCTTCTTTAATATTTTCATCAGTTGAAGAGGTCTCAGGTCGTGCAGATCGAGGCATATTTTTCACGATCTCGACCTTCTTTGAAGATTTTGTATCACTCGTATACTTGCGTTTTTGATAAAACTGAATCACCGCAAGCCTTGTCCAACATTTACAACGTTTTTGCGCATAAAATTCGGTTAGAAATACAAAATTTGTGGCAAATTCTTTGTTCTATATTTTTATCGATTGTAAAAATTGCAAAGCACAGAGGTATACCGACTTTAGCAGCCGCTGTAAACAAACCGATTGAGAGATCGCACTCATATTATAGTAATTAAGAACAGTCCTACCAACTTAGCACTAATTCATTTGATAATTATTTTGTTCCCTTTAATATCTCCGTACATACTTACATTTTTTTAATTTATCAACTCATCTCCTTCAGATTACAAAATATACGATCCGCTCAAAGCCGAAATACACAGCATACACGAACAACAAAATACCATATTGATCCTGTTGATCGTGCTACTCACGCTCATCGCTGTACGCTACATCTACAAATGCATATGCTGGCTGCGACGCAAACGTTTCTGTGCGCTGCTGCTAAAGAAGCTGCACAAACACCATGAAGCAGCCGGCGCTGGGGTGAACAGCAAAGACATGGTCATCGGTGCGACAATACCGAATGTGATGGCCATAAATGGCGCTATGGAGCGGCCGCCATCGCAGATCTACAGCGTGACAGGTAGAAAAATTCGAATTTTTCATTTTAACTCTTTTCTGAAATTATCTTTCTCATTTTTTAGGCGCCGAAGGTTCGGTTATGACGTTAACCACACCAGTGAGTACGCGCTATCCGGCGGAGAATAGCACTCCAACAACAACTGTGACGGGCGAATACTCATATGATAATCAGGCGCTCGCCGTGACGCCAGTTTCGGAGAAACCAAATGGTAGTGTGCGTGCGTTTTGATCCTATCTAACCTACAAACGTGTGAGTTGTGGTTGTTGTCGAAATTGTGTTAAGGCAAAGCAATTTCGATTCAATATTCAAAAACTTAGTGCAAACATTTTTTGTTAACGCTGAAACTTCTAGTGCCGCATAAATTTGATCTTCATCGATCGATTAGTGGTCTTCACAGTTTAGGTGTTTTAAAAACAATACAAAATATTTTTTTTTTTTTTTTGCATATTTGAAGTAATTATTGAAATAGTATGTATATTTGAAAATCATAATAGTGTACGGCAGTGATGGCACCTTGCCGTTCGCAGCAATCACATAAATGCTCAGCGTGTATGTAATTGATCGTAAGAATGATGATCATGCGAAAACCCGTTGAAAATCTCTGACTATAATAATCGCTGAAATTTCCCCAAATATAATAGAAGCTGCGGTTCAGCTAAGCAATTTCATATCGTATATTTATATAATTAAATTTTTAAATATTTTTTTGTCGATTGCAAATTTATTGAGAATCATCGATGACTCGTATATTGGCGTGTTGACGTTCATCACATACTCATGTACTTAAAGTTAGTAATTTATTTAGTTTTAAAATAATGAAAAAAAGAGAAGATATTAATTGAACTAGCAACGAAAACATCATTGAGAAAGTATTGAACAGCTGGCTAAGTACTAAAGTATGATTGTACAAATTAAATTATCGATGTAAATCCCAAAAAGTACTGACTAATAACGATTTTTTTGTGTTGGTTCGAGATATTGATTTGATTTAATCAAGCACTGTAAAACATCACGTCCATTATGTAAGTGATATTTATTCTTTAAAAGTAGTGAGTAAGTTTTGCTTCCATTTTAAATACTATGTACTTACGGATAAGCAATATATTAGATATAACAGATATTTTAATAAAATTATACTCTTTGATTAAGAGAACTGTGTTTTCTGCATGATTGGTTTAAAAAAAAAAGCTAACACTTTCCCTAAGTGAATTTAAAATTCATGAAATAAATTCATTTAGCAGGTTTTTATTGTCCTAATTGTGAAAAATATGTAAATTTCTATACGTCACTTATATGTTTGTTATGTGTACTTAATAGTTAGGCTTTAAACGCGAAAAATTCATCCAAAAATTGAGGTAGAACTTCTATCACTCTGTTTATTTACAATAGTAAATGCTTGCTAATTTGATCGACAAATATAACTCAGAGCTATAGTGCTATCATATTTGATAAAATATTGTTCTTCGGCGATTATAGTTAAAGCGATTAACTTTCACTGTATATCTTTTATAAATACTAATATAAGTTACTTTCTCCTAATACCAGCGGCGTAAGTAGAAACAATAATAAGGGGGATTTTAAGTGTAAACATGGGAAGAGAAAAATAAAAATAGTTGGTGGTGCCGACGAGTGTTTTTGATTTTCAAATATAATACGTTGAGCAATACCAAAACCTTGATTAGGATCGACAAGGACCTCTCCGAGACGTTAGATACCAAACCAAAATTTCAGACAAGGCGACTCCTTAAAGGGGCACCTTCTTCAATTCACTGCTGGATAAAATAATTCGACCTGCAAAGCTGAATAGAGAATGGTGCAATCTTCTATAGGAGAGTACAACTGCTGGCGTACGCTGATGACATCGATATCATTGACCATAACAACCGTGCTGTTAGTCCTGCTTTCTTCAGGTTGGATAGAGAGCAAAACAAATGGGTCTGGTAGTGAACGACGAAATATCTGCTGTCATCAATCAAACAGTCGTGGTACTCGCGACTTGGTTCCCTCGTCACTGCTGACAGTCATAACTTCGAAGTCGTAAATAATTTTGTTTATCTTGGAACCAGCATTAACATCAACACCAACAATAATGTCAGCCTTGAAATCCAACGCAGAATAACACTTGCCAACGGGTGTTACTTTGGACTGATTAGGCAATTGAAAAGTAAAGTCCTCTCTCGGCGAATAAAGGCGAAACTTCATAAGTCACTCATTATTCCCATCCTGCTATATGGTGCAGAGGCGAGTTTTCGAGAGAAAGGTTCTGAGAAAGATTTATGGTTCTTTGCACGTTGCACGACGTCATTGGCATAGTGATAATTTGGCATCAAAGTTTTCCCTGAGCACTTCAAAGGCCCGAGAATTGTTGGGTTTTGAAATAGCTCCACGAAAAGCAGTTAAAGCAGTTAAATCTGCACATCCGGATAGCCAGTCAGGTAGCGTTGATTTCTATTCCTCAACTTCTACGTATTTCAGATACCATCGAGTAATTGTTTGATCGTGTTGCAACCTAGAATTTTTACCATCGTATCTACTAATATTGTGAATGAGTCAACTGTTTTTCCGTTTCCTTTCTTTTTATTTCCATATTTACCTCGCACTTAATGTAGTTCCAGAAATGATTGAGATGCGTTTCGAAGCAAGTGGACGGCAAAAATATAAAACTCAAATCGCTGTCTGTTATTTCCTGCGCTACAGCTTATGAAAAGATAATTTGAAGGCTTCATCTCAAACAAAGTTCTGTTCTAACTTATTTATTTTGCATCCGGTCAGCAGGATCTCATAGGTGATCAGCTCCAGTTTTGTACCAAAGTGTAAAAGAACATACCTTGTAAAAACTTGAGTGAAATGATTCGGTTATAGAAAGAATTAGTTTGAAAATATATCGTTATTCTACTTCTGCTACAAGCGAGATATTTCAGGTATATATATTTAAATATTTAAACAAGTTCGAGAGCCAAAAAAGTGGAGAAAGGTAAGTTTAACTGCTGTCCATAACCGCTTGGTTAATCTTGGCTATCTACTGTTTCAATGTTTAAATTAAACACCATTTAAATTTATTTTTAAGAAAACACAAAGAAATGCATTTATTGTCATAATCTTACTTTTATATAGATTCGAACATTACAGTACTTAAAATTAAAATTTCGCATACCTAAAGAGACAATTTTTTGTACGAAAAAATATGTATTTTACAACTATTATTTAATAAATATGTATGCATGGGTATGTATGTATATAAATATTTATGATTATGTATTTCGACTCAATCAATGTATATTCTACAGAATTTGTAAAAAACGTTTGGTGTTGAAAATATGGCCGGTTAAAAGCTAAGTACTCACATCAAACTATATATACCATATAGTTACACTTCTTACGTGTTTATACAAGAACTGGCAAGATAAATGGTCTACATAAATGTATATGTGTAAACATATGTATGTATGTATAAAATTTCAGCTCTACAAAGTTTTCTTAACTCTATTAGTCACTCAAGTACTCAATTATCGAATATTTATATTACATAACTATGAAACGCTCAAAAGGCACTGGACCACCCACGGACTGCACATACTTCCCTTAATTCTAAAGTCAGTTCCCTCACACATATCGTAAGTTAAACCCAGTACTGGTTTCTACGTAAGAGCGGATTACTAGCCGGCGCTGAGGGCGGTGTTGCCGTTGGCGGCGCGCTACTTTGCGGTACCGTTGAATAGCCGCCAAAATCATTGGCCATATCGCACGATGAACTCCACGTATCATTCTCCATGTGATAGGGATTGTAACGCTGTGGCAACATCATTTGCTGCGCATCATCGGTTTCATCACCTTCGTCCGGGTCATAGTCGGGATAATCATGTTTGTACGACTCAACTGGTATAATCTTGCAATGTGGTATATTACTGAAACCGGGTAGCGGTGTGGAGGCGCCGGTAGCGGGCACTGAGTCCGCCTCCGAGTTGGCGTAATGATGATGATGATGGTGGTGGTGATGATGTTGCGGACTAACTGAAGTCAAATCGGGTGGACAAGGCAAAGCTGGTGGTTGATCTTTCGAAATATCGGCTTTATCGCGACGCAAGTAACGTATCTTGAGTAGCAACATCACAACCAAGATACAGACAATGAGCACAATAAGCACTATCAGTAGCGCAACGTAATTGAAGCTGAACTCGCTACTGGCCATGGTGACTTTATTGCCACTGGTGTCTTGCGGCGCACGATACTCAATATGAACTACGCTCTGTGCCGGTTGCACGGTCTTTATGTGTAACTGATACTCAAAGTAATCCATATCCTCCACTGTAAGCTCCACCGCTTCATTGGGCACGAAGTAAACAACGCCACTGCGCAGTTCCTTATACGAAAACGTACTAGTAGAGCGCTCATTTTGCGACTCGGCCGCTAAGCCGGTGCTACGTATAATCTTCCGTAACTGGCCGGTGGTGGGCATGCGCGTAATGACGAATTTCGGATTGAATTTGTTCAACTTCAGCGAGAGCGGATTTTCCGCGACGAGCACGGACTGCAAGCGTACCTTGCCCAATTCGTTCACCATAGAGATATTCGTGATTTTGATAACCGGCTCGACGGCAACCAGCACATCCACCGTAGCGGTGTATATGGTGCCCGGCACATAAGCGCTGACTTGGAAGGTGTCATTGGAGCGATTCAGATCCGTTTGCATGTAATTTATTTGTGCCGTTTCCAGTTGGTGTTGATTGAAACGCAGTGTGGGCTGGTGCTTATACACGATGATGCCATACAGCGGTGAATTGGTGATGTTGTACGACAGGCGTTCCTGTTGCACATTCGTGCGCAAAGAGATGTGTTCCAGCTTCATAACGGTTGTGGTGGCACCTTGCGGCACCAGCACCGGATATTGATAGTCTGCTGGCAGTAAGCTGATGGGCGCAATTTTGATGGTGAATACCTCATAAGCCGGATTGAATTGTCCATCAGAGACGGTAAAGCAAAAAGTCGTGGACTGCGGTGTACCGAAGTGTACAAAAACAATGCGACCATTGTTGATATCGGCTTGTGTGAACTGATTCGAATATGCCAGCAAATCTTCGGCGTGTCCGTCGCTATTAAGCTTCTTGAGTACACCAAGCGTCGGTCCACTCATCACATCGTAGACAATCTCATCGGGTGGTGTATCCTTGTCTTCGGTAAGTAGCATATTACGCGTAATTGTTTGGTTTTCACCTTCCACCACAGTCATCTGCGGAAAATGTGTAACGAGTGTGAAGGGCTGATCGTTTATCGGCTTTATGGAGACCGGCACGGTGAGGTTGCATAGAAAAATGTTGCTGCGCGTGGTGGGATAAATTAAAAAAGGATTTGGGTTGGTTAGTTGAAAAAAGTGATCAAATCTGTTAGTAGCCAATCATAGGTTAACTTATTGTAAGACAGACAGAACTCCGAACTTGTAAGATCTGCGCTACCCCGATATTTACTTTTAATCAGTCGAGCTGTCAAAATTTGATTCTCAAATATACACTTACCCTTGCGCTAGGTACTGCGACAGATACACCGACATTAAAATCGTATCGTCCTGCGTATCGGAGTGATCGTGTATATAATACACTTTCTTAGTCAAAAAATCGCTTGGCTGAAACGTCTGCATCGCTTTGAACTCATGCCCGAGTCCAATACTGCCATGCATAGGTTTTTGTGTGGCCTCAATATACAACTCGGGATTATTTATGCCAGCACGTGTTTTTAGATACTCTAAAATCTTAGAGAAGTCCAACTTAATTGGCACTGAGCCACCTTCATCAACTTGCAGTTTCGACACAGGCAAAAAGCGCAGTAGACCACCGGAAGAAACAGATATTTCCACATTGAACTTTTGATCCAGTAGGCGATCACTACGATCGACCACCACATCAAAGTAAAACGAATCGTTTATACGAAACTCCATTATGACCGAAGTGTGTTCGTAGAAGATGCGTCCATTATCGATGTCATTCTGTGTAAAACCGGTAACTTCCTTCGAGAAACCATTATCTGAATATTCATTTACTATACGTCCGAGACTCGGCGGTACTGTTATGTTATAATATATCTCACGTCCCTCATCGGAGCAACGGAAGTATAAGTAATCGCGTAAAATTTGCTTTTTGGTGAGCGGGAAGACATG